GTTGGCACTAAAGGTGTGTGCCACCACACCCAGGTACTCTCTTTCTCTTTATTTTAAGGACTTTAACCTTTAGTATGCATATATTTTTAACACACTGGAAACAATTTAGAGGTTTTCTTCATCTTTAATTTTCTGTTTACTGTATATCTCTCATTTTCTGACCACATGAGTCTTTAATTTACTAAATTATATGGTTAAGGTCAAACCCATGGCTTTGGCAGATGGATCCAGCCCTTTTCTTAGTTTTCTAAGTTTCTAGCCTCATGGCGGAGGTACCGGCTGTAGACATGCTTATGGCCACAACACTATGGTGGTTAAAAGTCCCTGCCAGCAAGCAAGCTGCAGCAGTTTCCTCACAAACCACACTCAAATGCTGAGTAGCCTGACCATGTAGTATGAGAGGGCCTGCTTTTCATCCATACCACCTGGCTAGCTTGCACCTGAAATAACCACACAGAAACTGTATTAGTTAGATTACTGCCTTGCCCATTATCTCTAGCCTCTTATTGGCTAACTCTCACATCTTGCTTTAACTCATTTCTATTAGTTTGTGTATTACCACAAGGTTGTGGTTTACCAGGAAAGATTCCAACCAGTGTCAGTCTCAGGCAGGAGGTTCATGGCAGCTGCCACTCTGCCCTTCTTCTCAGCATCCAGTTCTGTCTTCTCTGCCTACTTAAATACCACCCTATCAACTAGGCCAAGGCAGTTTTTTTAATAACCAATGAAAGCAACACAAATACAGAAGGACCTCCTACACCATTTCCCCTGTTCTGTTTAAACAAAAAAAGAAGGGATTTCACTTTAAAATAGTAAAATTACATATAATAATACAGTTATCAAGCAAGGGTTATAGTTATAATATTTATATCTATTTTATCTTTTATCATAACAAAGGAAAACTATAATTATAACTATCCATTCTTCAACTCCATCAAAGACTCCAGAAGGATATAATATTACCTAAATAAACAGGAAGTGCATTTTAAACAACTTCCAAAACTCTAGAAATGACAGAGACATCTTGTTGCCTAGACAGTCAACCAAAGTTTTTCTGTACCATTGGGGCATCCATCTTCAGCCTTCAGGCCCATAGTATCCAGCAGACTTTTCCATGAAGCAGGAAATTTTAAAGACAGTTCAGTCACTTTCTTCTGTATCCTGCAGAATGTCTTGCAGACTCTTTCATGAATCAGAAACCCTGAAGGACCATCTCACCTTTAGGCAAGTTCAGCAGTCCTCTATCTGTGAGTACTTCATGTCTAGTTTATGCAACAGTCCAGGCAAGATCAGTTTTTTGCCCAAATGGCTAACCAAGTTCATAAGGAGCCTCTTCGATGCCTATCTTCCTCGGGAAGTAGTTTGGTGCTGCTAGGAGCAGATGTGTCTCATTGTCATGAAAAGTCCTAAGTTATTAAAACATTTTAAATGCCCTAATCTGTAGTCTTTGAAAGATATGAAGTGTGCCTTTCTAACTGAAATATATCTCTATATATCTAGAAAATCTAACTAACATGACTATATGCTTGACTATTATCTATGATTATTCATTAACAACCTATATTTTCTAATTATACATTACATTTTTAAATGAACTACACAATCACAATACCTTAATCAAGAGCAGAAATATACATATAACAAGATTGAACTTAAATTTATATCGCTAAAGCAAAATTCATACCAATGCAAATTATTCACTTTTATATCATATCCCCATTTAAATGTAAACAAACAGTTATAAACAATATTTGGGAATATGGGCACAGTTCTTTCTCTCCAAACTGCTTCGTGCTGTTTGGGGGAGCTGTTAATCAGGTCTTTTATGGTATATCCTGTGTGCTAGATTCATCTCAGTCTGAAGCTGGGCAAAGAAATTTTTGAGGGTATTTATAGCAACCTTTCAGGGTGTGGTCTATCATACCATATTGGTCTAGAAGCAATCCACAGGGTCTCATTCTCTGTGAAAACAAAAAAAAACTTCTTTTCCAAAGCACCATATCCTTAGACCCAAATTGTAAGTCATGATACCTTTAGAACATATATGCTATGCTGGTATAGCTTAGCAGCCCATTTAATGAAATATTTTTCTGTACTTAGCTCCTTCACAGTCAAAAATTAAAAAAAAAAACCCACAATAATATACAGAATCTACACTCTTTGTGAATTTTCCATTTTTATGTGGCTTATTTCTCTTTCCTTCTTTTAATCTATGATTATCTGTACTCTGTCTTTTTTAAGATTTTACCCATTTTTTAAAGAATTAACTTTATTTTATGACTTTCTATGTTCTTTTTCTTCTCTCTCCCAAGCCTATGGATGTTTATCTAACAGAATGACCCATTTAGAGGTCTTTTATTCTGAATCTGTCCTTTTGCATTGTCCTCAATTCTCTACTGTCTTGAAGAGCTTTTAAAATGCTAAGCAGCTTGGTTATGGCTGCTCTGGTTGTTGGCTATGCCTCTCTCCAATTTCAAAATTGTGGACATACCACTTCTGCTAGCTCTGGGGCTGCCAGGCAGGAGCTGCACTCAGCACTTTAACTCTGAGAATGAGCATGCAGTGCATAAACTCTTTTTATCTGAATTATAGCCAAATCTGCCACACAGAGCACTGCACAGCCTGGAAACATCTCTGTGTATGGTGGCAGGAATCCACCATGCTCTCTGGCATGCCCAAGTCTGATTCTGCCATCTGCCTAGGCGGGAAGAGCCGAGCCATGGGCATGGTCTCAGCTACTTTGTTCCTGACCCTGAGTGGGCACACAAACATCCAGGCCCACAAATGCCCCGTAGCCGGAAGTTTGCACTAGCGGCAAGGCCCAGGAAGCCACATTTGAAAATGGTATGGCTTTTTTTTCTGCTGTCGCTGAGTCAGGAAAATCTCTTTGCAGCACACCTCAGCAAACAGCAAACACTCTGTTTTTTCTGTGTGTCTAGAATTAAGCTCTCGATGGTTTTTAAGTGGATTTAGTCCATCATGTTGGGTGCCAATCTGTAGTATGGGAGGTCCTGCTTTTTGTCCCAGCCACCTGGCTAGCTTGCACCCAAAATAACCACACAGAAACTGTATTAATTAAATTACTGCCTGGCCCGTTATCTCTAGCCTCTTACTGGCTAATTCTCATATCTTGCTTTAACCATTTCTAGTAATTTGTGTATTACCATGAGGTCGTGGCTTTCCAGGAAAAATTCTAACCAGTGTCAGTCTCAGGCAGGAGCTTCATGGTGGTTGTAACTCTGCCCTTTTTCTCAGCATCCAGTTCTGTCTTCTCTGCCAACCTAAATTCTGCCTATCAATTAGGTCAAGGCAGTTTCTTTAATAACCAATGAAAGGTTATAAATACAGAAGGACCTCCTACACCAAGACCTCCTGCCTGAAAGAGTCAGAGTTTGTGCTGGCAGGATGGCCCAGAAAGCCAGCACTTTAAAATAGTGCAGCCTTTTTCCTGCTAATGCTGAAAACCAAAAAGCATGCAGTCAGCTTTTAATCAATACCATTTAAGTATTTTGTGGCAGGGCCTCTTAAAAGGGCTGCAAGGTTTTACAGCTAAAGCTGAGTCAGGAAGCCTCTCTTAAATGAGATGCATTTGCCTCTAGCAAACAGAGCCCACTGAGAAAATGCTTCTACCAATAAGCTGTACTTAACTCTATTCATTTTTGTCTAGATTTACTTCCCAAGCTCTCTCAGGCTTTATGTGGATGCAGTTGTTCACAAGGGAGCCATTTGTTGATTGAATTTACTGTCCTACCAGGTTTCCGGAACATACAGGATTTAAGACTAGGGTGGGCTACATGAACCCTAGGGAGAATAAGCTAACAAACATGTCTATGTACAGTCTTCTCTTTAAATGGGAAATGGAGACAGTGAGATGACTCATCTGTAAGACATTTGCACCAAGTCTAGGAGCTCTGATTTATCCTGGATCCCATAAGGAAGAAAGGGGAGTTGACACTCAAAAGTCATCTTTTGACCTTCCAGGGAGACCATGACACGTGGGTACACACACACACACACACACACACACACACACACACACACACACACACTACAGAAATGTAAAATAGATTAAAATTTTAATTGTGAAATGCAGTATGCTCTATGTATGGTTCCTTCCCTACCTCAGACTATCAATCTATTCCAGTAGTAACCTGCCTGAGTCTGGAGCGTCAATGGAGGCCAAGGAAAGCTTATGGATGTGGCCTAATACAAAATCAGAAATTTAAGTCAACATGAAGGTTGGTTTACAATTTTGTTTTTAAGTTGAAGGCAGAGTTGTTGAGGATGACAACATTGCTTTGAATTGTCAAAAGGTTACAGCCCTGATTGAAGACTGCCCTGTCTACAAACTGGCACAGGCCTGGCTGATTCTGCATGTAGCCTCTGGTTCTCAGACTTCAGGAAAGGGTGATAGTCGGGTGCTGAAGTGCAGAGTCATAGGAGCTCCAGATTGTGAAGTAGAGAAAGGGGCAGGCAGGGTGCTGGGCAGCATCTTGGACTTGCATCTCAAGCAGGGAGTGTCCAGATATTTTCCAATGGGCTGTTGCTGAAGTTTGGCCACTTCCAATTGTGTCCTTTTATGAAGTTCCGCAATGAAAAGCCTTGTGGTTAGTATTTGGAGATTCCACTATCTTCTTCACTCAGGGAAAGAAGTACACGTAGTGTGTGTAGTGTGTGTAGGGTGTATAGGATGTGCAGACTGTGTGGGGTATGTAGGGTGTTAGGGTATATAGTGTGTGAGTGTGTGTAGTGTGTGTAGTGTGTGAGGTGTGTAGTGTGTGTAGGATGTATAGGGTATGTAGGGTGTGTGGGGTTGTAGGGTATGAGCAGTGTGTAGTGTGTGTGTAGTGTGCAGTGTGTGTAGTTTGTGTAGTATGTATAGGGTGTGTAGGGTGTATAGTGTATGTAGGGTATGTTGGGTATGTGGGGTATGTAGTGTGTGTAGGGTGTGTAGTGTTTGTAGTGTGTGTAGGGTGTGTAGGGTGTGTGGAGTGTGGAGCGAGTGTGAGGTGTGTAGTGTGTGTTGGGTGTGTAGTGTTTGTAGTGTATGTAGGGTATGTAGTGTGTATAGGGTATGTAGGATGTGTAGGATGTGTGTAGTGTGCCTGATTAGGGCCAAGCTTCATTCCTGCCACTTGCATTCAATCATGAAGGATGAGTGGGGAAAAGGCTGAGGGACCCACATGGGTGCAGCCCTAGAGGCTCAGGGTGATAGAGCTGCGGGCAGCTAGGAGCCCAAAAAGGGGGAAGACCTGTTTGTTAAAGGAAGTTTGGAAGGTGTAGATGTGTTTGTTAGTGATGGCATCATAGAAGACGACATCTCCACGGTCATAATCCACGTAGACACCCACTTTCCTAAGACAGATTGGGAGATTCTCCTGGATACTGCAGTTGGTGATTGGCTGACATCCAGAGGACGAAATACGCAGTGCCCACAAACAGCCTGGCTCAGAGTTCTGAATCTGGGACCCCTGAGGCAACTCGACAACCACGCCCACTATGCCAACCCTACTTGGGGGTCCCTGGATTTCCACCTCCCACAACCCACGGCCTGAGGAGAGGCCTGGGGATCCCCTCACACAATGGAAAGGATAGAGTTGTCGAGGTTTTGCCTGTGTATTCAATGTGCTGTCGACGACATACAAGCTTGCTTTCTTTAGATCCTGAGAAAAGGTGAGGTTTGGGTCAGATGAGGTCGAGTCCAGGGTTATAAGTACTGTGGGAAGATAAAGAAGAGTGAAGAGGTATAATTTCAGGCCAAGTCCTCCAGCACCCTGCTTTTGAGCTTCTCATGATGTAGCTAGAGGGAGAATTTCCCCTTAAAATTCCAATTCCTGTCCTCAGAGAAGATTCCTGCCTGTTTCTTTTTGTTTTCTGAGAAGGGGGTCATATATAACCCAAGCAGGGCTGAAATTTTCTGTGTAGCTAAGGACGATCTTGAACATCTCATCTTTCAAACTGCACCTCCCTAGTGCTGGAATTATAGATGTGGGACACCATGTCCATGCTCCCTACACCCCTCTCTCCAGTACCTCTGCCTCCTCTCTATCCCCACCCAGGCCTCAAACTTAGCTCCTGATTTTATGTGGTTCTGTTCTGTGGGTGCAGAGGGAAGCTCCCCCAGTCCACATGGTAGTAGAATCATTAGGGAAAGGGGTCTTGAATCAAGGTCATAACACCCTGGATAATTTGGATCTTCTAACAATGAAGATACGTCTTCCCATTTCCACGTTTCCTGGTTCTCATTTGGCAAACAGTTGGGGCTATTATGAGAGGTCAAGGTTTAGCCTATTTTTCTAAACTGGGGTCACCACTAGCCTGACTTTCTAAAGCTGAGTTCCTGGGGCCCAGAGGTGACTCAGCTGACAAGGCCTGTGCCCCCAAGCCTGACACCTGATTTCAGTCCAGGAACTCACATGGTGGGAGACTGACTTCCCCAAGTCATCCTTTGAATTTTCTCTCCTGTATCAGAGTTGGGAATGAACAGAACACTTTGACCTGCACACCTAGAGGTCCCTTGCTTCCCTAAAGAAAGACCCATGTGCCAAGCAGGAATCCTACCTGAGGTGGGCAACTTTGAGTTATTCTTATGTAACAGGTGCCCTAAGATTTGAGAGAGAAAACAAATTTTACATTAATAACAAGTGGTTATGAATTAAAAGTTATATTGGGGATGAGCAGCTGATCCTGTCTTTTATCCTAACTATTCTCAAAGCTGAACCAATCAGAAGACATCACTACAGGTATTGTCCCTGTGGGTCTCAACTCCTCAGCTCTGCTAGGCTAACCAGGCCTGTTAGGTCAGCTCCAGCTCCAGACTGAGCTCCCGCCACCTGAGCCTTGTTCAATGAAGAAATACATCTATAAATTTCCATTCGTTATGAACATTTCTTAATTAGTGGGGGTGTCACTATGGCTACCTACATGTAAAATAATAAAACAATTCTCTAAACTTGTTCATACACACACTGGACCTTCCACCCTCAATATCCCATTGAAGAGAGATTTTGTATTCTTCAATTTCCCTAAACAGCAGTGTATGCACACACTTACAGTTCTTCATGTCCTTTTTATCCAGGCTGTTCAGGAATGCACTTTTATCTTCCTTCCCTTCAGTGGTCAGGTTGTCTGTGAGGGGAGAGTGAAGGAGATGGGGAGTCCACAGAGGTTAAGCAAGCAACAAGGAACACACAGTGAGGCACTGATTGCTGATGTGGGAAGAGGTGGTACTGGGATTTCTCTCATAGTCTCATTGAACCAAGAAGGCAGCCAACAGGGAGAGCTGCTCTAGGGTCTCCCTGAAGTTGCTCTCCAGTACAGCTCAGTCCAGAACAGAAGTATTAGGATCCACAAACATAAGACACTGAATGTGGACTTTTCTAGATGCTACTTTGAAACCCTAAAAGACCAGGGCACACTGACACTCAGGAAGCTGACCCACGAGGACGACAACTTTTAGTCCACAGTACATAGTGAGTTCCAGTGTCTCAAAAGGAAATGAAAAGGGAGCTGGAAAGAGGTCTCAGCGGTTAACAGCACCAGGGACCCCAGTTCAGTTCTCAGCATCCACTGAAACTCCAGATCCAGGGCATCTGGCACCCTCTGCTGACCTCCATGGACACCAGACAAATACACAAACACATGCACTCAAAACACCAACACAAATAAAATAAATGAAACATTTTAAAAAATAAATGAATAAAATGAATTTAAATAATATGTTTTGTTTAGCTCAGAATGTTAAAACATACTGCCATTTCAGCATGTCCAAAAAAAGTTGAGTGCTACCTGGGCACAGTGCTGGTTGCTGGAGACTCAGTTACTCAGAAAATCACTGCAGTCTTCCATAAGAGACTACCCTGGACAATATTTCTGTTTGCTTTTGTTTTCATTGCTATATTTTATGCTCTATTTTAATATTAAGTCTTTCAGAGCCAATGTGTATTCTATACTTACACTAAGTGTGAATGCTGTGTTTTGGTGCCCAGGGGTACATGTGATAAACAACAACCAAATTGGGAACATACTTCTAGTCCCATGTTCACCACCTAGTAAACAAGGAAATTTTCTGAGCTAAGAGGTGCTTTGACTCTGGGATATAGCTCAGATTGCAGAGTGTTTGTCAAGAAAGACTTAAGTTCCATCCTCAGCACTAAACGTGATACAGCACAGCATGAGGAATTTCTGCATAATGGTTCTTTGAAGGTACTCAGCATTCAGCCTGGGTTCTGAAAGACTCTGGGGCTGGCACCAGAGATGCCAGGCAGTATCTGGGGTGATGGAAAGAATCCTGATGCAGGAAGCAAAGGAAGTGGCAGTCACATCTTACCTGTAAATTGCTTCAGGGTTTCTATGATGGAGTCGTGTCTTGCTTTTGCTTCATTGATTTTTTTCTCCAGGTTTATGGGAACTGCGGTTGGGTTGTGAAACTCAAATTCTCTAGTCCTGTGAAGATATGTTGATCTGAGTGGTAATTTTGAGGATAGAGTGTGGGCAGGAAAAATCTGGGAGATGGTTCCTGGTGAGCAGGCAGAGTGATAAATACAGTCTAGAGCCAGGGAGCTGAGTGTCAGGGGGTGTGGACAGAGATTTATTCCCACCTGGTCCATTAGCCTTTCAGTCCCAAAGAAACATACAGAGGTGTGCATTAATCATAAACTGGTTGGACTAATATCTCAGGCTTCTTATTAACTCTTATAACTTACACTGACCCATAATTCCTGTCTGTGTTAGCCACGGGCTTGGTACCTTTCATCAGCGAGGCATTCTCATCTTCTTCCTCTGTCTGGGTGATGACTACAGAGTGCACCATTCCTCTTCCAGAATTCTGTTCTTGTTGCCCTGCCTATAATTCCTGCCTGGCTGCCCCAACTATACATCATGACTGGCTACTGGCCAATTAGCATTTTATTAAATAGTACAAATAATAAAACTTTGCAGGATATAATACCGTTGTCCCACAGCAAGGGAGCCAGAACAAGAATGCAGGGCTGAATGAGATCAGACCTAAGAAAATATAGAAATGAAGATGGGAGATGGATCAGAGAAGAGAGAAGGGACAAGGAGTAGGGAGGTAGAGTAGGAAACCCAGGGTTCACCCACTTGACTAAGAGGAATATGGGAGGGGAGTGCAGCTGCTCTAAAGCTGGGTATTAGTGAAAAGAGCTGTGCCCAGCAGACCACATGCTACTGTGGCCAACTTGTTCTTTCCCACTTTCAGGCTAAAGAGTTTATAGCCAAGTTAATGGAGGATGTGAACATATTCGAATATATGTTGAATGTTGTATGTGTGAGTGAACCAGAAAGCACAGTGATGCCCATCATACCTGCTCAAGACGTCATTGAGGCCCTGGAAGAGAAAGAGAGAACAATGTCAGAGCTTGCCTGAGTCACAGGCACCAAAAAGGGGTTCAGACTCAGCTGGAGGCAGAGTGAGAACACCCCAGTTTTCCACCCTCTCTTTGCTCTCTCTGTCTTTCTTTCTCTGTTCACTCTGTGTGTCTGTCTATCTGTCTGTCTCTGACTGGTCTTTCCTCTTTCCTCCCAATCCATTCTGAACTGCTACCTTAAAAGCTACTGATATAGTTGGGATAGTGTTTAAACCTAAAAAGAAACAGAGTAAGGAGAGAAGAAAGAGTGACATTTGGGAGATGGGTGTTGCCTCTGATATACAACCAGGGAGTTCAACTTGGTAGTGTTACAGCAAAGGTGGAGAGGCTGTCCTTGGTTCTTTAAAGAAAAAAAAATAAACAAAAACAGAAATCAGGCGTATTAGTCCTGGCACTTGGGTGTCCTATTTTTCCTCCCTCTTGGTTTTGTTTGCTTGTTTGTTTTATCTGAGACAGTTATTAAACTGTATTGCAGGCTGGCTCAAATTCTCTGTGTAGCCAAGAACAGTCCTGAACTACCAATTCTTCTGGCACTGACTCCTGAGTGCTGAGAGGACAGGAATGCACTAACACCTCAGTCCTTCCCGTCAATTAATTTTTACTATTTTAAATCTGCATATATGCCTACATGCATCAGATCCTATTATAGATGGTTGTGAGCCACCATGTGGTTGCTGGGAATTGAACTCAGGACCTCTGAAAGAGCAGATAGTACTCTTAACCAATGAGCCATCTCTCCAGCCATATTTTTATTATTTTTAAATTGTGTATATATGTGTGTCTGTGTGGGGGCATGTAAATGAGAATGGAGGTACACAACAAGGCCAGAGTGATCAGATCTGCTGGATCTGGAGTTACAGAAGGAGGTCAGAGGAAACCCTGTGGGAATTGGCCCCGTTCTTCCATCGTGTGGGTCTTGGTATTGGTGGCAGGTGCCTTTGCACAATGAGTCTGAGAGATGCTTTAAAGAAACATATGTGTCCTACATTACAATTCTAAACTGTGAGCTGGGTGTAGGGGATGGAAAGATCAGTAATCCAGTGTTACCCTTGATCATATAACCTTTGTCCTAACACTGCCAGGCTGCCTGGGCTGCATGAAATCCTGCCTCAAAGAACAAGATCAAAAAGCTCTAGTTTTTTTGTGACTCACTTTCTTTTCCTTTTCCTCCCTTCTTTCCTTTAGCCGCGCGTGCGTGCGTGCGTGTGTGTGTGTGTGTGTGTGTGTGTGTGTGTGTTTGTGTGTGTCCAGGCTGTCCTTGAACTCTAGTTGTCCAGGGAAGCCTCCTACCTCAGGAGTGCTAGAATTACAGAGGTGAGACACCACACCCAGCTGTTTGAGATAGTGTCTTGATCTTGGTTCCCGTTAGCTTTGGACTAGCAACAATTCTCTTGCCTCAGTGTCCTGGATTATGAGAGGAGCTTTGGTTAATTCAGTGGTTCTCAAACTCATAATGCTGCAGACCTTTAATAAAGTTCTTCACGTTGTGGTGACCTCCAATCATAAAATTATTTCCATTGCTACATCATAACTGTAAATTTGCTACTCTTATGAAATGGAATGTATCTGATATTTTTTGATGGTCTTAGGTGGCCCTTGTGAAAGGGTTGGCAGATCCTCCCTGAGGGATTGGACCCACAGGCTGAGAGCTGCTGGGTTAGGGGAAGCAAGGTAGTAGCTGGCAGACTAGTTCAGGAAGGCAATAAAAAGTATTAAAGCAACCATGGTTCATACATGAGGCTTATTAGGAGAAAGGGCATGGTGAGTGCTGGGCCTTGGGGTGGGAGAGCATAGAGAGGAACAGTACATTACGTCGGAGAGAATACGAATGGAGCCTTGTGGGGAGCAACAGGCTTCCCTTTAAAACCTGGACAGGAAGGACCTTTATCAAAATGACAGCTTAAAGTAAGAAAGGTAAGGGTCATGGATTCTATGATGGGGTCGACGGGAGCCTCAGTCAAATCCCCCCAAAAGGAAATTATCTGACATTTATGTCATTTCAGGGAGTGATAGGAGTTTCCCAAAATTTCATTTTAGGGGACAACATGGAGGAGTCAGATATTAGGAGCTGTTAGGGCACAGCATAATACAGATTCTTAAGTATCTTTCAGAGAGAGAGAAAGAGAGAGAGAGTTCCCAATGCACTGACCTCCAGTAGCTCCATGGATGGCGCTTGTAGCCTATTTTTCAGGGACCTTGTAAGCCTTCTGAGGGTGGTCAGCTGTCCCTCTGTGTCAGTGACATACTCTTCTATCTGCTTGACTCCCTCCTGCTCCAGCCAGCTCAGCCTGGACAGGAGGAATCTCTCTTCCTCTTCCAGTCTCTGGCGCACATTCTTAAATACCTCAAGGACCTTTAGTTTCTCTAGATGTACCTGGGCCTGTGGGTAAGGGAAGGGATGCAGAGATGAGGGAGGAATAAGAGAGGATTTTCCAATCTTCCTTTAAGCCAATTATTCACTTTTTAAATCAATCAACCATCAATCAGTCAATCAATCAATTAACTAATTACAGGCAAAGTCTCGCTATATAGTCCTGGCTAGCCAGGAACTCACTAAGAGAAACAAGTCGGCCTTGTATTCATAGAGATCCACCTGTCTTTGCCTCCTAAGTGCTGAAATCAAGGGATTACACCATTTGAAACAATTCATACTTTAGGAATATGTAAAGATTATTCTGAGGCTGGTTTAGAGGGGAGGGGCAAGGAGATCAAAGCACTTCTTGTGTTCAAAGATTTAGGCTCAATGACTTTTTTTAAACCTTGATGGACATCAACCAGATGCACAACTTATGAAATTCTAGCACGTGGGAAGTGTAGACAGGAGATTTAGGAAGCCAAGGCCAGCTTCCATTCCAGGTCAGCCTGGATTACTTGAACAATGCTCTCAACACACAAATGACACCACCATAGAAAACTCAGGATAAGGTTGTAGTTCAGTTGACAGGGTGCTTGCTTAGGCATGTATGTAGTCCTGGATTCCATTCTCAGCACTGCATAGTCTGGGCATGCTGTTATAGCCCTGCAATTCCAGTACTGGGGAAAGACAAAAGGGTCAGAAGATCAAGACTATCCTTTTCTGTATAACATTTTCTAGCTTGTGCTACATAAGATACTGTGTCTAGGAGCTGGAGATATGGCTCAGTAAGGGACTTTGTTCCTCTTGCAAAGAATTCAGATTCAATTCCCAGAGCACACATGGTAGCTCACAACCATCCTGACTCCAGTTCCAGGAATCCAGTGCCCTCTTCTGATCTCCATGGGTACCAGACATGCACCTGGTATACGAACATACATACATGGAGGCAAGGCATTCATTCATATAAAATTAAATCTAAAAACAAGTAAATAAAAGATTCTTAAAAGTCAGTGGGGAAGAACATAAACAAATGGAGAGAGAAAGAGAGAGAAAGAGAGAGAAAGAGAGAGAGAGAGAGAGAGAGAGAGAGAGAGAGAGAGAGAGAACTCTCCTCAGTTTAACTGCCTTCACACTGAATTTCCCATGGATGGACCCAGAGAGATGAAGCAGGAGGTAAGAATGCTTACTGCTCTTCCAGAGGACCTGAATTCAGTTCCCAGCACCTATGAAGAACAGCTCACAAATATCTGTATTTCCAGTTCTTCTGGTTTCTGCTAAGATTTGCACACACATGACTTTCACTCACACAGACACATATACATAGATAAAGGTAATGCAAAAACCTTTAAAAAAGTAAACAGAAACAAAATCAGGTGGAGACATTTGATGGTGTCATAGTCTCTTGTCTTTTCTTACTGTGTGATCAGACCCTAGTGAAAAAGGGCTTGTGTGAGCCAGTGTGTGTGTGTGTGTATGTGTGTGTGTGTGTGTGCTCCTTACAAAGTCTGCTGTGTGTTGAGGAGCAGAAGCCCTCCTGGTTCACTGGTGCAGCACCCAGGCAGGTACAACTCATGTCAGTACAGCTCAGGAGCATGGCTCAGGCACCACACCCTCTGCTCTGCCCCTCGCCATCTTGTCAGCAGGACTTTGTCCCAGCCTGGTGTATAAGGAGTGCTCAGACATTTCCTCAACAGAGATGCTCAACTTTTCAGAAATGTTTGGAGTGAATATTTCTTACCCTGAACACCTGGATTTCTCCTTCACCTTTCTTCTTCTCTTTAATTATTTCCTTGTCCTTTTGTCCCAAATACTGGACCTCTGTCTCAATCTGCACCTGTGGGGAGAGAATGCTTTAGTCAGGTTCAGGTTCTAGGGAGGCAGGGAAGACATCCCAGGGTCCTGATGTCATTATTCGCAGCCCCTTTCTTTCTCAGGGATCAAACCAATTTTCTCTTTGCATTATGTGATCCTGAGGTTCAAAGTCAAGTCCTCATTCCTGGTGGCAAGTGCCGTTAGTCTCTGAATTATCTCCCCTGCCCCCAAAGTACTATTCTGATTATTCTTCTTGCCTTGTTTACAAGGTATCTGGGAATTGGTATTTCCCAGAACCTGGATCTTTGAGCTCACTGGACCCAGCTGCAAACTGCTAACTCAAGTGTTAAGAGTGCAGCAGTAGGTGCCAACCAGATGGAACAGGCAGCAGCCTCCAAGTCCCCAGAGAGTTCTACTCTGCTGAGCTAAGGACAGAGAAGGAGGCAGGTACCTACCTTGTAGTTCTGGGCAGCCTCATCTACCAAGGTAACTTCATGGGTTTTGTGGTCCCTGGAGTCACGACACACCAAGCAGAGGAACTTTTTATCCTTCTCACAGAAGTAATGTATCTTTTCCTTGTGCTTCCTACATCTTGGCTCTTCTTCTGGTTGGAACTCAGCAGGATCCATAGCCTGGATTTTCTCTGCAAGACTAGCCAACAGCTTATTGGGCCTCAACATATTCTTATTCACAGGGAGTTTGCAGAGCGGACATTGGAGGTTTTCTGTAGTTTTCCCAACCAGATGGATGCACTGCAGGCAGAAGTTGTGCCCACAGTCAATGGTGACAGGATTCTGTAGAATTTCCATGCAGATGGGGCAGATCACATCCTCCAGTAGTTTGTTGGCCCGGTTTAGGCTTGCCATGATGGAGAAGCAAGGCTAATCTGAAATGTGAAAGCCCAGAAGTCCGAGGCAGGTGCCAGTACTGGGAAGAGAAAATGAAACAGGAAGCAGAGGCTATAGAGCCTCTCAATTGGAAAACTAGAGAAGGACAAATGAAGAGGGGTTAAGTAAATGAACAACAGAAAAGAGGAAAATTAAATGGGGAATATTGTAAAGAGAAGAAAACAGTCAGTACTACCTCACTGTCTCTCACGAGCAAAGAGATACTGTGAATTCATGCTTCCTATAAGTAGAGCAATTTCCCTGGACCTTGAACTAATTATCTTTACAGGCAGTTGTCTGATAACATAA